AAAATTATAATTATTATAATTTTTATTAGTTTATTCAATTAATTTATAATTATTACTTAAAGCTTATTAATTAAATCAAATAGCAACTGATTTTTTAAGTATTCTCTTACTATCTCAATTTTTCTATTATTAATAATTTTATTAATTTTAATAATTACTTCAAAGTTATATAGTTATTTAATAAAATTCTAATTATTATTCTTGAATTTATAAATTAAGATAAAGAGCTTTTTTATTTATTAAGATTTTATTAATTTAGTTAATTCATCAAGAGCTATAATTAAATTTTTTATGTCAATTATAAATATTTTACTTAATTTTTCTTTTGATTTTAAATTTTGACTTTAAATTTTGCTTAAATTTTTTCTTGAGTAATAATTAGCTCTTTAGATATTTTAGAATTATTACTTTTATATTCTAATTTAGTAAATTAATTAATTAAGAGAGTTTTAAAGTTATCTATTTTTTTAAGAACTATAAGGATATTATTAATTAAATAAATCTGTTATTTAATTATAATTTTTATATTATATATAAAGATATTAAATAACTTAATAATTTTTCTTAAAGTTATATAGATATATGATTTTGTTATATTAAAATATTAAAGATTTTCTGCAATATTTTATTATATAAAACTACTTAATATTCTTAAATTCAAGTTAGAAAATTAATAAATTTTCTATCTTAATTTTGATTAGCAGAATAATAATAAAAATAATAAGTTTTTGATTTAATATAAGATAAATATTTTCAAGAATCTTAATTAATAATCAGATAAAAGAGTAATATATATTTATAAACTATAAAATTATTTAGATAAAATAAAATATTTCAAGAATAGCTAATTCTTAAAATAATTATTAAATAAATAAAAATAATTGATAAAATAAAAAGATTTTTGAAGATTTTAATTTACAGAAAGATATCAAATATTATAAGCTATATTCAAAATAATAAATTTTATCTGAAATATAATTTATAATAAAGTTTTGAGATAAAAACTAAATTATTTATAAAGATTAGATGAGATTATAATTATTCTAAAGACTTTTTAATATTAATACTTACAAGTATTATATTATTACAAGACAAAATAAAAATAAATAAAGAAAAATTATAATTATAAAACTATAAAAGAGAAAGGTATTTATAACTAAAATAATAAAAACTATAAACTATTGATTTACTATACTTACTAAACTCTCTAATAATATTATTTTAATAATTAGTTAAATAAAAAATATATATTAAAAATAAATTAAAAGCTTTTATATATTGAAAAGCTTGTAATCTTGTTAATTAAAATAAATAATACTTGACTTATTTTAAATAGAAAGATTTATTATCTATATTTTTCAGATATAAAAAATATATAATAATTAAATATAATTTATTATAATAAAAAAAATAATTAAAAGCAGGATTATCAAGATAAAAAAAATAAAAATAATTACAAGATAAGTATATTTTAAGTATTATTAAATACAAAAGAATTATTAATATTCAAGTATATTTATTTTATATTTAAGAATAAAAATATTTATATATATTTCAAATTATACAAATTTATTTGAGCTTTACTTATAACTTATTATTAATTATATTAGATATTTATAAATATAAAAAATTAAGTAATAAATTATAAATTAACAAATAAAATTTAAAGATAAGATATATATAAAAATTAAAAAATAATACAAATAATAAAATTAAAATTAAATAAAAAATAATAAAAAGATAAATATTCTAGAAAAAAAAGATAGTTAATAATAAATAAAGAAAAATAAAAAAAATTTATTTCAGATTTATAATTAAATTATTTCTGAATTATAGCTGACTTTAAGTAATTTATATATTTATAATTCTAAAGTATTACTAAAACAAGACTGAAATAAAGTTAAATTATGACTAAATCATGACTGAAATTAAATTGATATACTAATTAAATCATTCTAATTTATATATTTTCTAATAAATAACTTATTAATCAAAAATCTTAATTTTTAAAAATTAAGAAATTAAGAAATTTATATTATTATGATAATAATATACTGTTCTAATATATTTTATAGTAAATAAAATCTAATTATAATATAGATTAATTTGATATATTTTGAATTTTTTCTGAGAGATTTTTATTCTTATATTACTAGTTATATGAATAGTATATTATTTTATTAAAAAATAATAGATATGAGTTTGATAATTATTTTATTTTATTTGATTGTTAATTATTAATAATAATTAATAATTAATAATTATTAAATTTGCTCCAAAATAAGTAAGAGTTTTTGTGATATATTTTGAGCTCTAAATTAGAATTGTGCTTATATTTTTTGAATGATAAATATATAGTAATTATAGAAAGTATTATTAATTTATCTAATTATATGTATAATTATTTTTTAAAAATATATTTATCAAGTTTTTTTTTTCTTTTTTGATAATAAATATTACTTTATTATTAGATTAAAAAATGATATCCATCTATATGCAGCTTTATGAAATTGAAAAAGAAGAAGATTTTGGTATATATAAATACTGTAAATACTACTCAAATTGCAAAAATACTCAGATGTGATTCTACAATAGTACATCACTTTCTAAACAAATATAACAAACCAGAAAAGTGAAAACTTATCATGTTCAGAAAGATTACCAGCCTTAAATAATCATGAAAAGGATTTATTTATACATGAAGCTAATAAAAATGACATGCATTACTACATGAAATAGTCAACAATTTAGGCCTCACTTGTAGTTTATCAACCATCACAAATATATTGCACAACTCCAGACTTTACTCATGTATCACAGCAAAGAAATCTTACATCTCAAAAATATATATATATATTCATATTAAATGGTGTGAAGAAAATAAAATTAAATTAGCTTATTGATGATTCAGCCACTGATTCTGATACTAATTAATAAAATATAATATGTGCTTATTTTTGGATGTGCCTATTCTTAAAACATATATTTGAAAACTAAAGGCCATTTGTACTTATTTTCGGGGGTGCTTATTTTGGGGCCTATACGATAATTATCCAACAAAATTAATGAAAATTGATTGCCAACGTGGAAAAATTGATCAGTTATTTCAGAATGTAATATCTCAGCATCTAGTACGCCAATAGATGTGATTTTACCGTCATTTTGTTCATTTAATTAAGTTAAATCAAATGATAATAAAGCACATTTATCGGATCGCTGAGATATCACTTCCTGAAGTATCCGATCAATTTTCGATTTTTGCAAAAAAGGTAAATCAATTAGCCACTTCGGAACATGATATCTCAGTGTCCAATGAACCAATTCATATGATTTTGTCCGCCGAGTATATATACATATTCATGTTTTTTCTAGTAATTATTTCTAAAGTTTATATCATTTTAAAGCTCATGAGTTATATTTTGTACAAATGATTTCCAGCTGTGGACGATTTAAAATGCAAAGACTATTTTGATTCTAAAAGGAAAAGAATTTTTTTCCTGCTTTACATATAAAAATTGAAATTTTCAAGCTAGATATATATATATATATATATTCTCATATTTCTTTTAGTAACTATTTCTAACTTTTATGCCATTTAAAGTTAATCGATTGTAGTTTTCAAAAAATGATTCCTAGTTGTGGATGACTTAAGATGCAAAAACTGTTTAATTATAAAATCATGAAAAAAATATATATATATATTTTATTATAGAATTCAAATCGGGCGATATTTTGTGGGTACTTACATGTACTTTTTTCCAATGGTGCAAATTTCTTATTAAAAATATTGGCTCGCTATTCAGAAATAAACCAACTGCTAAGGAATTTCTTATTGTTATTGGACTTTTTTGTGTTGACAATATTGACGAGTGTGAATGAACTGAATACTTTGTATTTCAAGTGTAGAAAAGCAACTTAAAATTTACACCAGTCAAATTTTTGCAAAAAAATTTAATTCAATTCCAAATAATACAAACATATTCTGTTCTAAAAAATTTTGTTATTTTATGAGTGTGTTAGACTACATTCCAAATAAAGATAAAATTGCATTTAATATTATTTTTTCTTAATAATATTTTTTCTTTAATGGTGCGGATTTAAAACCACGCGAACAAAAAGAATTTTGATTTTGTAGGCAGAAAATGGTAATTTTTATTAGCAAAGCTTTTTCTAAATTTCACAATTTCAAACAAGGTTTGAAGTTATTTAGTAAAGTGTTTCGCATTAGTTTCAGCTTTTGTTCACTTTTGCATGTGATTATGTTTAGTTTCTACTACTACTGACATCTTCTGTTTACCTAACCGCCAATTAAATTAATTAGCGTGCATGTTTTGACGAATGAGATCTGTTAGCAAGCATTCGGGTATTCGAAATCTTGTAAATTGGTCGATCGTAATTCCTAATCTTTCCAACAAAAGAATCACTTTTGTTAATCTTAATAATCATGCATATCGATATATACGTAATACGAAAGCCGAAAAGCAATTAAATATCCAATTATTGATATCTGTCATAATCTAGCTCGCTTGTTGTGCTAGACCTTATATATATGCTAAGTAATACTGTTATGTATTAGTATATCAAAAATTGTTTACGTTATCGTTATGCAAATAGTTACTCTTTAAACCGAGTTGAAATCCTATTTAATTCAACAAATGCACGTGTAAATATTGTCATAATTCAAAATGGCCGAATGTATGCAGATTGCATGCTATTCGAAAAATCAACATCCACCGGCTCAAGTGTATAAAAGAGTCGCGTCTCTTCGTTCAATTTGATTTTCGTCGCAAATTCAATCAAGAGTTGCTTAGCAAAAAACCTCATTCCCTCCTTCCTTCTATATTCATTAGATTTTTAAGATACAGACTGGTTTTCTGTATCTTATTGTAATCTCTAAAAAACTTCGTTTTGAAAAATCCTAAAATATATTCTTTTTTCCGCACTTCTTCGATACACACTCCTGAATTACGCATTAATCATTTCCTAATCAAAAAAATAAAATGAAGGTTGTTACAGCGTTAGCTCTCTTGATGGCAGCTATTTCGTTAACCGCCGATGCAGCACCCGCCTCGAAATCATCCGTAGTCAAACTTGATTTGAAGAAATATAATTTGCCCGATTCTTTTACTTGGCTCCAAAAGTCACAATTCATTAAAAATCATGCACTATTGAAATATTCGAATAATATTCGAACAGCATATAGTCAAGGTTTAGTTGGTCAAGAAGCCATCGTAAGATTAGAAGCGGCATCCACTCCAGTATTTGATGCTTCCTCACCAAAAACTTTCATTATTAATACTAATAGTACTAGCGTTAACGATGATAGCAGTGACGGTTCTGCTGGCAAAGATAGAAAAAAGAAACACGGAAAAAATAACAATCCCGACAATAGTCAACCTGATAATTCAAACAATCCTGATAATAGTCAACCTGATGATTCAAACAATCCTGATAATAGTCAACCTGATAATTCCGGCAATCAACCCGACAATACAGGCAAAGGAACTGTCGAAGATCCTCTTAAAGATGAAGGATTTGACATTGGATATCACGGCCCAGTTGAAATAGGAGGACAAACATTTGATGTAATATTCGATACTGGTTCTTCTGATCTTTGGGTGCCGGCGCAAGATTGTAGTGATGAAGCTTGCAAAGCTCATAAATCTTTTGATCCGAAAAAGAGCAAAGGATACAAAACTAATAATAAGCCATTTGAAATTAAATATGGTACTGGTCAAGTTTCTGGAATTATTGCAGTAGATGACGTCT